TCGGCGGGCGTTTATCCGGCGACCTCTGATACTCCGTGTGTTGATTCTTCGAAACTCCACCTCTCACTGAATCTGCTGTTTTTATTTTTGTACTTTCATATCCCAAAATATATATTCCACACACGTTGAAACTTCCACATATGCGCGGCGTTACTGGTAAACTGTGCCAGACAGTGCTTTAATCAGTGAGCCCACAGGCAGCTGGTGCCGACAAATGGAGAGAAGGTGACACATCTCTCGGCTTGGCGTTGAATAGAAACGTGCCTTACGTTAGAATAGGAGTACCATTGGCGTTAGTGCACTTAAATCAATATTTGGCCGTGTGTGCAGTAACGGCCATTATGGCCAAACCAGTATCATACAGATCCTAGTTTAATGCAGACGAACGTATTAGCGCAAGTTCTGTTTGAATGGGTGTGCACGACCTTAGATAACGTCAGTGGTTAAGCGAGCTTAATGGTTGACCGATTCACGTCACAAAGAAGCTTAATAAAGATGCTCTTATGGATAACTGCCAGTTTGGTTTGGTGTAATTAATATCTCCCCTAACTCTACCATCATCAACCCTCCCCAGTTTTACCCCTGCACCACTAGCTCACTGAACCCGTGGATAATACCGCCCACATCAGTGGTTGAGTGAACAGAGCACAGCACGGATAGCGGGAGGTCGAGTTTCCATCCCAAAGGACGGGTCTTGTCAAAGGACATAAACAAATGGAACTTGTTGTTTCCGTGCCTGGCGCTGATTTACGGGGATGAACCTGGCTTTACAGAGTTGGTTCTGAGAAGTATAATTTGGCGGATTGGGGTTAAACTGTTATAAGTGGCAGCACTGTGAAAAGAGTGAGTGAGTTTAGTTTTACGCCGCGTTTATCGATATTTCAGCAATATCAAGCTGGGAACACAAGAAATAGGGGTTCTCACATTTACCCATGTGTGGAATCGAATCGTGACGAACGCTTTAAACACAGGGCGCACAAACACACTTACTCACACCGCGATGTTAAACACCATTTCATCTGACCGCCAAAGGGAAAACGCAAGTTGGTGTCTCGATTATTGGGGACTATGGCCTAAAGATGACTTATTCTGTTGTTCGAGACAAGAGGAACGTCTAAATAATCCATATTATCAGTTTAACTTATGATTAGAATGGGACATGTCATTGTTTTATGGTGAATAATGTAAATTAATTTACGATTGGATTAAACGTGTTTTAGCGAGACTTCAAAAGACAGTTCCATCAACTAATTCCATTCGTTTGTTCAATTATAATATAAAATACAGTTTGGACAAGTTTGGAGATACAAAAGTTCATGCTTTAAGGGCAAATTGGGCAAACCTGACAGTCTAGTAACCTACATACTTATATGTACAGGGCATATGACAAAGTGACATCTCCATAATAACAGGAGTTTACATCCTCCCTAGTTATTGACAGAGAATGAGCTTCAGGCGGTAGAAATGCGGTATCAGCACCGGTATTGTATCACGTGATTACCAATTTACAGCTACAATCGCAGTGAAACAGCGCGGTCCAGAATATGGACTAGTCACTGCATTACACATAATATTATCTTGACCCAGATTCACATTCAAGTATCATTTGGGGAAAATGTGAATAGGATGTGAAGGATGTCAATACCACCTACTTCATACCATATTCTCAATCTGTTCTTTACAGAATAAAATATGATAATCTTTACAGAGATGGTCATATTTTGAAAAGGAACCATTTTGATCGCAATTATTTTGGAGAGGCTTTATTGGTTACAACAATATTTTTTCAATCCTTTCATCACCGTTAAAACATATTAAAACCCAATTATCCCATGATGATAAGAAAACATTACATATTATTTGGGGCTTTGTCCCTAAAACCCACCACCACTGTTGATGATGGGAGGAGGGGTTAGTACGGCATGCAAGCAGATGATACATTTTAAAAAGACATTTAAAAAGTACCACGTATTCAACATGCAATATCTTCATCTACTATGCTGAATGTTGATCTGCTGTAGATGGTCAACAGAAAATGTTATCCGTCCCACTTCTTACGCAAATTTATCTTGCACTGACACAGAAACGATATTGAATGCAATTCTCGATTTATTATGCATTTCGTCGATGAGTTTAGGAACGTATTTTTAAGCTGTAGTCAGAGTAACTAGGACATTATTGCGACGGTCATGGGGCAAATTGGAACTAAAAATGAGTTAGGGATGAGGGGTCGTCTCAAACACCTACGATCAATTTAACAATCTCTTTGACTTCTGCATGCATTAATCATGTGTATACATGTATACACAATTTCCCGGATTTGTGACTAAGTACAGGTCACCGGGTAAATGGGATAGTAAGGGAAGTTATGAACGAGGACAGTTATTTTGAGAGGGTTCGTCTCAAAATACTTTTAACAATTTCTTAAACCGATGAATGAGTCAGTGAACGTATACTCCTGGCTTGGGAGGTGGGGATACGGGAAATCTCCTTGCACGTTTATATTAAAGGAATTCGAGTTTTTGTCATTTAGGTGAACACTACACAGTGTCCGTTTTATAGCGTTGCATATGGTGAGATCAGGTTAATTTGAAGTAAAGTCGCACCGTAAGTGTAAGTGAGTGAGTGGACCAGACAATCCAGTGATCTACTGCATAAGCATCGACCTACACAGTTGGGATATGATTGCATGTTTCAACCAAGACAGCGAGCCTGACCAACCGATCCTAGCAGTCACCTCGATAAGCATGGCTTCGATAAGCATGACTTGTTGAAGACCAATTCTAACCCATACCTTAGAGAGAGAGAGGATCCTTGTCTGCATAAATGTCTGTTTTACAGTACTATCTCACTGGATACTGAGCCCACTGCCATGCCACAGTTTACCACGAATACCAAACTCGTATACATTATGCTGGCTCCTTTAGCCCCCACGTTCTATTCCTGTGCCAAGCGCCAGGCAGGGTAACATCAAGTACCATCTTCTGGTCACAATGATCTGTTTTTGAATGACGCTGCCTAAGATTGAACCACTGACCTCTCTGGGCCGACGCTCTATCCACTAGCCCATGGAGCCAAATCCCATGTGGTCTTCTGCAAGTATGTGAAGTATTGATTTGAATCAAATCGGTTCGGAAGTAGAGCTTCCGTCTGAATAAAGACCGGAGTAATAGTGCTTTAGAAAATGAACCTTTTCACATCGAAAAGTAGCAGCTTTGTGTCAATTATTGGAGATGACAGAAACGTCATCTACGTCTGTTAAGATGAACGATGTCCAAACAGAACACCGATGAACATTTAGAATGATGTAAATGGATAATAAACATACACTGACGTGCCTACTTTGAATCCTTTATGTGTTCATTTTTAGCGAAGCACGACAGGAAGTTAATACGATGGATGTGTTTAGTATTCCCGATGCAGGTCTACACGGGACGTGAAGTTTCAACACACAGTAACCTGCAGCAGAGCGGAGGTTTGCAGGGCCCTAGGGAATTCTGGCAGTGAACTATATTGAATTGGTCATGTCAGTCGGAGGAAGCCGAGATTTTCGTCTTTATTCTTGGTCTGCAGCGCGGAAATGTTTCACCGAGATCAAATATGTTCTAGTTATTAACGATACAAAGATTGGGCGGATTTTGCTGCATATATGTTCATTGCTAGATTATGACGGTTTTCCTTTGCACCTTTTATGACCATGTCTTCGGGGATATATACTTTGACAAAAACAAGAGTGTTGTTTGGGCGTTGATTTGCACTGTACATTTTCTTTGCAGATGGGAGTGTCTCGACTATCTAGATGAGGTAAATGTGCAACTGTTGTCGGGTCTGATTGTGAGATGAAATTAATGTGTTCTACATTCCGGGATATGGAAAAATGAATAGCGTTTTATGATCGGGGGAGAGAAACAATAAATGAAAGCATTACTGCATCAATATGTTGTTGTTTTTCGTTGATTAAATTTGCTGACAACTTAACACACCAAGAGTGAGGTCTTTAAAGACACGAAATGGGTAATCGAGTGTTGTTGTTTTGTTGTTGAAACAATAAATGAAAGCATTTGCAACAATGGTTGTTGTTTTTCGTTGATTAAATTTGCTGACAACTTAACACACCAAGAGTGCGGTCTTTTGGGTAATCGAGTGTTGTTGTTTGGGGGTTGCTTTTTTGTTTCTGGGGGGGCTGCTAGTCCAGATTATAACAGACGAGTTATGTTTCCTTCCCCAAAGTACGCTGCCATATATGCTGACGGGTTTCACTCTTTAACTTTGTCCGATTGAAATTAGATGATATTCTTTTCTTTTGATGACCATTGTATCTAAAACCGGAATTATTAAGGGCTATATTTAATAACTGTAAGTTTGACACAGATCTTATGATATTCTATTACCATGAGAAAACATTGTGAGAAATAGCATCGTTATTTCCATTCAGTGAAGGAACCATTTTTGAAATTATCTTGGATCAACCTTTTTGAAAATCATCGTAGATCAACCATTTCGGATATCATCATAGATCAACCATTTTGGAAATATCATAGATCAACCATTTTGGAAATCATCATAGATCAACCATTTTGGAATTATTGATCAACCATTTTTGAATTATGGATTAACCATTTTGGAAATGATCATAATATAAGATCAACCATTTTGGAAATCATCAAAGGTCAACCATTTTGCAAATTATTACAGATCAACCATTTTTGGTGAGTGAGTGAGTGAGTTAATATTTAGCGTCAGATCGGCAATATTTCAGCCATATCGTGACGCAACCATTTTGGAATTATGGATCAACCATTTTGGAAATTATACCCATTCCCAACAAATTAATGGACGAGCATCATAAATTCTCACCCACTGATAGTAATCAATAATATAGAGTCACGTATCTCATTGATTCTCTAATTGAGGAAGTGTTGCAATAAATTATAAATAATACCTTAGTTTGTATTACAAAACCACCACATAATGAGGAGGAACTATTCATAACAGCCTACCTCAGCTCCCCATTGTCCGTCATAAACTTCAAACAGCTCATAGTCAAATTCAAGCTCTGCGCTGAGCTCGAAGAGAAGGTCTATGCTTAATCCTGTACAGCACTTGGTCTCAGTCTCGTTACTCAGTCTGAAAGAGAATAATGGCATGGTTACACGCAATCCCAAACACTTTATCCTAACCTATCATTTAGGCCGCGTTTTAACATTCACAATATGCTCGGCACAAATCCCTTAACAAAGGTAGATTTGTAAATGTATCTAACACAAAATCGATCACTGAAGAAAAGATCTGTAAAACGAAATCTAATTTACTATGATAGCATTTTAGTGAGCATGGAACGTAAACGAAAGTGCACCAACTTGTCTGGCGGTAATTACAGCCCAACGTGGCCTTCAGTTCGGTCCAACGCGGTTCTTAGAATATGAGACTTATGGATCCAACAGTAAGGAATTGGTGGTATGATAACCCCAGATACCATTCCGATATTACGATATGTGGTGATTTGGATGGTAATTATACAAGCATGGTTTACCGTTAGCGAGATTATTGGTGACATATCACTCCAAGCACCAGCGTAAATAGGTTCATTTCGATGTTTGAGTACATCGGGCTAATATCACACTCTGGGACAACGATTACTCGTTCTATCATGGTCATAAGGCACTGATTCACACCACATTTAGTTAATACATTATCTCGGCAGATAAGCCAGCATCTAACACTTGCTGCAATAAACTAGGAGCAAGAGCACTTCATCAGCATGGACCACTGCACAGATAATATGTCAAATTGTTTTCCAGAAGATAGGCCACGTTTATTGGCTCAACAAAAACCCGTCAACAACCTTCTTTTGATTTTGCTCTACATATTACGCTAATACTGTAACAACTTTTAATGTGTTAATTGACTGTCAAAGGAACTATATCTCCAAATCAAAAATCAATAATAAAATAATTGGAATTCCATCCACAAAACGTTAACTTGTGATTATACTGCTTCGATATTGGAGCATCCTTGCGACTAAATCAAATAACCTGGATTGGCTTCTCTCCAAATGACTACAAAAACAATTAATCATATATCGCAACAGACCATTTATTATTATTTTTCATCAGAATCGTTATCTCCGAACGTTATCATTCGGAGATGTCAGAGGTTTCCACAGCTACGTAAAACCAAACTCCGCTCAAACGAAACCTCACTCAACCATGTATACAACATGATGCCGCTTCTGTCCATTGCGTAACGACATTGCGTGGGTCAGCATGAAACACGAAGTACTTTATTAATAAAATAATCTTCAAATAAATCCTCAAATCTATATTTATTGGATTAAATCTACGTTTATTACTGTAACTTTGTAACATTATCTCTAAAAGTAATAATATTATGGCTAAGCAAACAAAAAGATCTTAACGTTAAAGCATCATCAAGCACGGTTTATTCTATCACGTATCGTTGATTTATTGATTCGAATTTAATCACGAATGTTTCGTGTGTATCAGCTGTTCTCAACTTACGATAACTCCATCCAGTGTCGGTAACCCTCAGAAAATGCAATCCAGTTAATCATACAAGAATAACCACTCGATTCATAAAGTTATTGTTCAAAACCATGACTTTTGTCATAATATATATATCCAAAGCACGTTCCACAATATGTTGATTGGTTGATTGGTTTGTTGTTTAAAGCCGCACTCAGCAATATTCCAGCTATAAGGCGGCGGTCTGTTAATAATCAAATCTGGACCAGATAAGCCAGTGATCAACAGCATGAGAATTGATCATCGCATTTGGGATAGGATGACATGTCAACCAAGTCAGCGACCCTGTCGCCTCTTACGACAAGCATGGGTTGCTAAAACCAATTCTCACCCGGACCAGAATATGCAGAGGGCTTCATGGAAAATGATTATTATAATTCCGTTGGAAATGACAGCCATCATTAGACGTATCTAGGCCAACAAACCTGAACGTGTTTCAATAAATCTAATGAAATCATTCAGATAACTGAATCCTATGTCTCTTTTGACAGTAATCTGAGTGACAGGTATCTGGAAACAGATGGCAAATATGCGGACCTTGTCAAGAAAAGCCACGTTTGCATCTCAAGTACAAAGTTATCCCGACTCCAAATTGTTTCCGCTGCCTTCTATTTGATACCTTCCGATCCGTTGACTGACATGCAGCCCTTCTAACAGTCTTGGTAGCGCAGAAGGTTGCAGTGTTGGAGAGTTTTCAAATTCTTCAAAACGTTCTTGCTAGGATCGACAAGGACCCTGTGTTGATGATCAGCACAGCCAGCCTGGGTGTACCAGGAGCATCTGCACTCTCTTCGCTGCATATATGTATTATACTAATTTATCAAATTATTGCTATTTAGAAAATCCTTCGAAACCAAATATTGGAAACGATCGTCCAAAGTTTAGTAAATCTGTTGCAAGCTTTCCATTATATCATAATCCTGCAGAATGTGGAAGATGCCACGACTCCTCTATTCTTTTGTAACCAGAAGAACAATTTGAAATTGAATTCATCAATCTCGTTAATAGACTATTGAACATAACAAATGAAATTTCTTCTATAGATATCTTATTTTGCTGCAATAGCAACCACCTACTCAACCACATGATTTTATTGGCCAAACGCCACATATTTGTAATGAATATAAAGGGTTTGAAAGCCAGTTTTAATATCTATAAAGCAGTATTAAAAGATGTGTATCAAATTGAAAAATATATTTGTTCGAAAAATATCAACATGGATTTGTTTAATAGAAAATGGGATGTAATATCACCAGCATTGTCATTGTTTTGACTTCATCTTACTATGATGCAGTACTTGCATGTCATTGTTATTCCACGATCTTGCATATAGTCTACTATTCTCAGCACATAATGTAATTGAATACGTAAGTGTCCCTTTCTATGCATGTTGTCTCTCACTTTAAGTCTCGCAAAATTGGTGCTTGTATCCAACTGATGTGAATAGAATAAACAAATTGAAATTAGTACATCCATTGGCTCTTTGAAAATGAATAAGACACCCCGATGTGATTGTATATCACTTGAATCTTTATTTATGCTTGAGTCCATTTTCAGAAGTATTATTTTCCAGATTAGACAATGGAAAATTCCTAGAATCTTGGAACTTAAGAATGATTTTACCTCTTATCAGAAAAGAAGTTGTCCTTGACGGTTATACGAATTATCGGGATATTTCGTACCTAAATGTGATTGGAAAATATTATGTATATCCTTGATTCTAGAATACGAATCTGCAAGATAATAAAATTATTCAGGAAGGGATTGAGAATAACTACTCAACAACAGATAATATAATTTGTTTGCAATCACTGTGTAAAAAACATTTGATGAAGTCAAAACACCGTTATTTCACTGCCTTTATAGACTTTCGGAATGCTTTTCATTTGGTTGACCGGCAAAATTATTATATTTTCTAGGAAAGGTATAAATGGTAAATTATTCATACTCTTACAAAATGTGTATGACAATAACATATACTCATGCCAATAATGGTTGTCACCCCCTTCAATTTTTGTAATTGCAGAGGGGGTGTGGGCTGTTGGTGTGAGGTTCGTGTGGGGTTGGGGTGGAGAGGGGGGTGACAACCATTATTGGCATGAGTATACATGTATATGAAATGGCAATGAGCCAAAGGAAATTACTACTACATCCGGTGTCCGCTAGGGATGCATGTTAACCCCACTACTGTTCACTGGAACAACTGAGTTATCAAAACACCTGCCTTGTTTCTCAAAAGAAACTTAATGTAACTGTAAAACAATCTTTGATGCACAAATCAGTTTATGCAAGTGCTTTTGGTCATGAGGACTGTACACAAATGAATTTGTATTATCTTGTGATCTCTTGTCTAAAACTATAAGGACATGACCTGAATAGCTGGGCAACTGAAAATCATATTTACCACAGTCTGATACGTAGATGATGAAGTGTGTGGTGACTACATATTGCCATAGTATCAGTGGTAAATATTAGTCATTGTTATGTTTGTAAATAGTCTATTGTGAACTGGACTGATTCCACATTATGGGTGAGTGAGTAATTTACGCCGATTTAGCTATTTGCCAGCAAAATCACGACTAACGAGATCAGGTGGTCAAGTCCGCTGAGTTCGTTTCACGCTCATGATGTCAATCACTGGATTGTCTGATCGAGATTCGATTATTTACAGACGCCCGTTATATAGCGGGTATAATGTACTGTTACAAAACGAACAATGAAACTTAAATGGTCCTAAATATCCCGAGAGACATTATACATTCATCAAAATTGCTAATATTCACCGTTTGAAGGTCTCTTTATCCCTTGGGTATATTTCACAGGCGACGGTATGTGGCCCGCATACTCCCCCATGCGGCATCTCTTTGTAGATAACATACGGGTTCTCTCTTAACGTGGCTATTCTGAGGAAACGACGTTTTGGTTTTCCCCTTGGTGGACCAAGAGCCTCCCCTGGCCACGTGATACGCCGCATGGACAAAGCCTTCTCGTGTCCAGTGACCGACCTTGAAACATACATAAATACATCCTTTGACAATAAGGAATAAAAGCGCATCTTAAAAGTGCGAAATTAAAATCTGAAAATCTTATTGAACGCAACTTGCTTTCTTTTGTTTTCTAAGTACGGTTTTGTTGCAATTTCAGTTGGCTGGTTTGGGCAGATAAAAAGCTGTAACTTATTTTTGCGGGAAAATTGAGATTGTAATATATGGAGGCGACTCTGAATGGTGCTTCTTATTCGCAAGAGCTTAATCGCTTTGAGTCATCTTTGCGAAAAACGGATAAAGAACTGCGAGGCTGGTTTGAAATTATCATGGCCGTAGGAAATGATTATGAACATATAATATCTGTGTCGTAGAGTATAGTTTGGATTTGGATTTTGTTTTTTTACTGAGATGATTATAACATCTGAAGTCAGAAGCTTCGTGTTTGAAAAAATCTACAAATGCCGTATACCGATTTCTAACAGAAACGTATGGAAATATGAAAATGAATTATGAGTGGAATATTCGCGTTTAGTGGTCTGTAGTTTTCATTCATAAAAAACTTGTGAAGTATGTTGATTATTATAGTTATAAAACTGTGTAGCACAAGAGAGTATGCAGCCAATTTCGTAAGCTTTATCACAGGCCATCGTGTCTTTGCGAAGATTAAAGATTTAAAAAAAAAATATATTTTAAATGACCCCCAACTCGAAATGCTACACAGTACAATACATTATGACATAATGTATTGTACTGTGAAGCATTTCGAGTCGGGGGTCATCTCAAATGTTTTGGGGTTTTTTAACATCATTAATCCTCGCAAAGACACGACTGACTGACTGAGTTTAGTTTTACGCCGCTTACAGCAATATTCCAGCAATATCACGGCGGGGGAAACCAGAAATGGGCTTAACACATTGTGCCCATGTGGGGAATCCAACCCGGGTCTTCGGCGTGACGAGCCAACGCTTTAACCACTAGGCTACCCCACCCCCCTGCAAAGACACGAGGGCCTGTGAGCTTTGGGTCTATAATCAATTTCAGATGGCGTGAATTACAAAGGGCGAGATACAAATGGAAAACCGTGTGCGTCACTTTAATTGGACTGTAAACGTGACTTGGTAGAACTTTTTTTAGACTGATCACGGCGTATGAATACATTTCTTTTACAAAAAGATTTTTTTCCGATGTGTAATTGTTAAAGAAACGTGTTATCTCCTGAAAAATGTATTCATAGTTAGGCTGATTTAAATTTTGTTTTTTCTCATTATACTACGCGATGAGTAGAACAGCAAATGATAATTACAGCGGCAAAACCCTCTCCATTTTCAGAAGCGATCGATGTATGGTTCCCACTATGGCTCCTACTTTATCAGAAATAGTGTGTGCAACGTATCATGAAAAAATGAAAGTTTTAACGAAAACATATGACAATTTAACATCGCCTTACATTTCAAAGCACGAATGTTTCCACAATATGGTTGGTTGTTGTTTAACGCCGCACTCGGCAGTATTCCAGCTATATGGCGGCGGTCTGTAAATAATCTGAACCAGACAATCCAGTGATCAACAGCATCGATCTACGGAATTGAGATACGATGACATGTGTCAACCAAGTCAACGAGCCAGACCACGCAATCCTGTCAGTCGCCTCTTACGATCAGCATGGGTTACTGAAGATCCATTCTAACCTGATCTTCATGGGTCTTCCATATTCAGAAGAAATCGATGTATGGTTCCCACTAGACCATAAGACCATGATATTACGTATAAAAAAATGTCTACAACGTATCATGACAAAAATGAAACGAAAACATATGACAATGTAACATTTCCTTACATTTCAAAAACAGATGTTTCCATAATAACTACCGCTAAAAGTTTTGTGTAATATATATACCAAAATTAAATATCAAATATGGCCATAGACACAGCTTGTTCAAACATATGGTCAGATGATTTAAATAGATAATTGATTATCAGCGAACGAAAACTAGGAATTATAAAACATACCACTGTCCAGTTTTTGCCTCCTTTAAGACCGTTTCGTTGTATATTGATGATTTTCAGTTTGGGGTGCAACAACTGTCCGGCATCATTGAAGTCGATTTCCTGTCCCCCCTTACTGGTGAAGGAAACATTTCGAAGTTTTCTACGGAAAGCAAAGATTAATCTCTAATTAGCTTTCTTGTAGAATCTGTAGTTATTCTTTGACGCACATTAATCAATATTTACTGCCGAAATTAACACTTTCACCATTTCAATGCTGTGTTTATTGCCGCTGCAAATAGAGATAATTATCTTGGTATATGAAATGGTCGGCATATAAATGCGACCATTAATATTTTTGGCAACTGCTGGGCAAATACATTTGTGTGTTTGTGTGGCTTTTTATATTTCCGCATTTAAGGAAATGTATATTTTGTCATTATATCTCATAATCAAACACACGTACGCGTTATGTGTCGCTGTAACATTTGGAGACCATTGCATCTTAAGGGAGCTAGACGTGTCCATATTCGCTTGCAATTTGTTGATATATCCTTTTAAAGTAATCGATATTATTCCTCAGCGAGAAGGTTCCTGATTCTTGTTTGATTCCCCCAGAACACAAATCACATCGTCCACATTCATATATCGAGCTTATTCTAACGTTGTGAAATGTATTTCATTTCTTGGCACATGTTTCAGACAAGTTAGTCTTTGGTGCATAAACAAAACACAAACCTTGTTAAAATGTTTATAAATTTTCACCAACCCATCTCATCATTTTCACAAGAATCTTGATCTCAACTGAGAACATGAAATAACTGGTCTCGCAAAAGCTAAGATGGCCAGCCATTTATTGTTTGACGTCAAACACCTACATCTGTGAGATAACTGAAAACCATTATCGAAGCCCGATCGATAGGGACCGACTTTATATTCTGGAAACTAGAACTATAAACTTAGAATTATCTGTGGCCACATGGGGCATATAATTTGTAGTTGCAAATCCCGGCATTAAGACACTGTGAAGAAATTGTGTGGCTAAGATGGTGTAATCAAACTAGTCAGTGCAGGAAACTAATGTTTGCAACTTTTGTATTTCAAAGAGCATTACTGGGATCCGGGCTGAATAGCATGGAAAAATAGATGCGGTGTACATGTATGTACACAAAACAAATAGCATGTACACGAATGGGATATTAGTGATTGTGGTATTTTAATAAATTTAGAGGTAATCATCAAGCTTAGTTTCCAGACGCTGCTTAAGAACAACGAAGCACACTGTATCGTGCTATTTTTTGGAGTTTCTTCACTCTGGTGTCGTCCGCAGAGAGTGAGTAAGTTTAGTTTTACGCCGCTTCTAGCAATATTCCAGTAATATCACGGCGGGGGACACCACAAATGGGCTTTACACATTATACCCATGTGGGGAATCGAGGTCTTCGAGGTGACGAGCAAACGCGTTAACCACTGAGCTACCCCACCGCCCCCGCGAAGGAAAATACACTTTGAAGATTGCGAGTCACCTACTTCTTCCAAACTTTGGACATCGATCGTTTCAGTATCATCTTTTGCAACACTGCAATCGCTGATATCTTACGTTAATTACACAAACCAATAAAAATGAGACTAAAACGTCATCATTTCCATAAACATTAGAATGTCTCATACATGCAGAGTCTTTGTGAACGATTCCCCTTGTAGATTAATTGAAGTTGACTTTTACATAGTACGTTAAACACATCCTCATTTACGAAGTAGTCGGTAGTCCACGTACTCACTCATACATATTTGCACCCTCTGTCCACAAGCCAGTGTTGTTACTGCTGCAGGTGAAGTTAGGTGTCTGGAGGTTGATGCTGCCACCCCGTCCCGCATCCTTTGCTAACATCTTGAGTGCGTTTGACCAGATCTCCACACCAGTGTCTATGGCCTCCGTCATAGCTCTCTTCCCGTAGTCGTACCACACACCTAGATTTTAACTGGCATTTACTCAGAGACAACAAAAAACTGAGGTCATGTTCCAAATGACTATATTATGAGGTGAGTTGAGGTGAAATTGGGTTTTACGTCGCGCTTGAGAATATTTCGCTCATATGACGACGTGCATGCGTGTGTATGTGTATGTGCGGCTGCTTGTACTAGCCCAGACTGAAGCTGGTTTTATAGTGCTAGCCCACTGAGATACCATGCCGCAGTGTAGCATGAATACCCCACTCAGACACATTATACTGACTCCGAGCCGACCAGTCCTTGTTGTACCCATTAATGCCGAGCGCCAGGCAGGGACCAACAAGTACCATATTTTAACGTCTTTTGGTATGCCGCGGTCGGGGATCGAACCCGCGGCCTTCCGCACCACGGAGGCGGTCGACTATATTATGAATGCGTGAGACTTAGTTGTGTAAACCTAACATGAGGTGAGATGAAATGGGGTTTGCTTGCTTGCTTGTTTGTTTGTTTGCTTGCTTGCTTGCTTGCTTTTGTGTTTGCTTGATTAACGTTGCACTCAGCCATATTCCGGTGATCAACAGCGTGAGCATCGATCCTCCAGAATTGGGATACGATGACATATAGCAACCAAATCAGCGAGCCTGACCACCCGATCCCGTTAGTCGCCTCTTACGACAAGCTGGGTTGATGAAGATCAATTCTTCAGGGGTGTGAAATGAGGTTTAAAGCCAAGTTCTAAATCATTGCAATGATATTGCAACTTGCAGTAAGGGTATTATATATTAAAGGTATACGCTTAAGAGAACACAAAAATATGTCTAATTATTAACATATTCGTTACAATGAACATATATATTACAAAAATTTCTAACAAGCCTAAAAGAAGACAAAACATTTCTAATTATGAATATGTACTATAAATATGTTTTATGTGAAGCATGTGAAGTAACATGTGCTGGCTTAATTTCCACACTGATTTTTGCATTTTGTTTGAGCATGTGACACATAAATGCACATTGCTTCGTAACGTTACATCAGTGCCACAAATGGTTTAAGAGTTTTGACCACGTCTGTCCTGACACTCACGTACCGAACAATCCATAAGGCAGCTTGGTCGGACTGACCCAGGTTTTGGTGTTTTTGGGTACAGAATCCATTGATAAAATCCACACATATTCAGATCCTGTAATTTTCAATTTGCGCGCGCATTCCATGACGGCGTATGTTTGTGACCTGAAAAAGAACATCATACTTGGGTCAATGATAATCTCTTTAAAATTTCAGTGTGTGAATATTACACTTTGCCGCAGTAATCATACAGTCACTTTATTCAGGAGTTTCAAATCGACCCACGAACAGCCCAGTTAAGTTTTGGGGCGTTTGTTGTTGTTTTGTTTTTTGGGGGATTTTCTGTTTTGTATTTGAAGGGAAAATGAGTGAGTGAGTATGGTTTTATGTTGCTTTTATCTATGTTCCAGACACCAGAAATGGGCTTCACACATTGTGCCTATGTGAGGAATCGAACCCAGGTCTTCGGCGTGACGAGCCATCGCTTTAACCACTGGGCTACCCACCGCCCCTTTAAGGGAAAGGCGTAAGAGGTCAAGCCAGGTCATTAACTGCATACACCCAATTCTCATTGGTCGACTGACATTACAAGAGATGGGATTCTCGAGGTATCCCAACAGGAATCCCAGAAATGAAAACGAAACCAGATGGCCGCAATAATGTCAATCATAGGTTGCCTTGCGCACAATACTTTGGATTAAAGTCTTTTCAGGTCGTGCGACTACTACGAAGTCAGGTGACCCTGTTTACTAATTCGTACAAGAACTTGTCAATAAATGTCTAAAGTAGACACACGAGACAGAACAGGTTGACATACAGACCGTTGATGGATAGCATTTGCAGGGTTTCTATTCAAAACCACGTTGGAGTTTTCGTTTTGGAACCTTTACACTATCATGTCATCTTGAAGGTGCTGGCTATTGGAAACTATATAGTGATATAAATTCATCCCTTGTGTCAGTTCCACAAGAATTTGAGAAACTGCCCTTCGTGGCATCGCAATAGGCGTGTATGTCAGTATTATTAATTTTCCTTCGCGATTTCAATGGCATCTGTCAGTTCAGAAATATTCATTGGCTTTCCTGTCAATCTTCTATCAATAAAAAGACAATGAGACATTGTCGGAATAGTGAATGCATTTCCTTTGATCTTCCATGAATGCATCATGTTCTTATGTCCAACAAACATGCATATATGCTTGCATTAAAGATATATGCATAATATGTACGCATATGGCGATGGTTTGAATTCTTAACAAAATACAGCACGGACTGACTGACTGACTGAGTTTTGGTTTTACGCCGCTTTTAGCAATATTCCAGCAACATCACGGCAGGGGACACCAGAAATGGGCTTCACACTTTGTACCCATGTGGGGATTCGAACCCGGTTCTTCGGCGTGACGAGCCAACGCTTAAACCACTAGGCTACCCCACCGCCCCTACAGCACGGGAAAGACAAGGAACTAAATGTAACAAACAATGAAATATATTTTGTAAACTTGCAGGAAAATAATCATACTATTTCTGCAATATCTTAAATCTGTTTGTTGTTTTTTTATCTAAAAGAGTTCTAATATTATTTAAAAAATTAAAAATGAATAGGGTGATATGATAGGTGTGAAAGTCATTTCGCCTACACGTTCCATGGTGTGAGCACTCATTTTCATGTGGCACCATTCCGTGAAACTGCAGCCCCGGGTCTCTAAGGAAATAGCTTCTAACATCACAAGTCAACCATGCGAAGATGGAATTTATCGCTTCAATAACACTCGCCCAGCTTGAAGACTTATTTCCACTTTTTAGAATTGGATCTTTTCTGAGCTGCAATATTTTGTTTTCAAATTATGGTATTTAGGTCAGTTGTTGGTTTGATGATGCTTGAGTAGTCTCTCGGTATGCGAAAGTATTCAACTTTCAATTAAGAGAAGCTGTTTCAATAAAACGCTCGGGTCTTAAAGAATTCTTTGACGTGCGCGTCTGAGAAGAGTTGAAGCTGAAGCATAAAACGATTTTTTATACTCGTTACTATTATTCGGATCTTTTCGCAGATAGTGTCTGGCCAGAGACTGTGAGCGTGCCTGTTGTATATGTCAGGACCATGCCGACGCCACATTACGTCAAAAGGATTTCTTTTATATGTTCTATAAATCACATTTGTGAGAATGAATCTGAATGACAAATAACCAATAACTCGATGGACGTTTCGGTCTTTGAGCCAAACTGTGATCTGCTTGTCGTGTATTCAAATCCAAAGTTCAGCAACTATGATCCATTGTTTATTATAACAGTACCTTGCATGAGGGTTCCATATATAGCTTCTTCGCGTTAGGCACCTTCCTACATTATCAATGAAATAACAATGTTGAAATAACAACCAAACGCATTTACTTACTCGCATCAGACTAGAAAATATATTGTTAGACAATATCCTTCGTATATTCAGCCTTAGAACAAAGGACATATATCATTCGAATGTATTCAGTCCATGTGACTTTCTTGAAACCCGTGAAGATCCGGGGTAGAATAGGTCTTCAGCAACCCATTCTTGTCATAAAAGGCGACTGCTTGTCGTAAAAGGCGACTAACGAGATCGGGTGGTCAGGCTCGCTGACTTGGTTGACACATGTCATCGGTTCCCAGGTGCGCAGATCGATGCTCATGCTGTTGATCACTGGATTGTATGGTCCAGACTCGATTATTTACAGACCGCCGCCATATAGCTGGAATATTGCTGAGTGCGGCGTAAAACTCAACTCACTCACTCACTCACTCTTGAAACCAATAAATTTGTTAAACCTGACACAATGTGCTTAACTATTTCAAACTTAGAACTAACTATCTGCAGTACCACATGGCTTTGTCCTGAGACGGCGGTTCCAACTCAATATAACTATGTACAGAAGTTAAAATCTCCAAAATCAATATCCAATATATTCCCTGATAAACGATACCTCAACATTCTGACAACGAAAACAGGGTAGAAAAAATATAAGCCGAAAGCTCAGTGCCTTTCCCCGTGATATACTAGAAAATGTAGAAACCTCTTGATTGCTTCAATCTCCTTTCCAGACTGTGCAAAGGATTTAGATTAAAGGATTTACAATGCAGGCCCACATCATTGATGAAAAAGGGTCTTGGCTTATGTTTCAAGACGCACATCGAAATTGTTCACACTCAAGCAGCTGGACACTCAACACCAACGTGATTGTTAGAAACTTTGCAATTACAAAAAAGTCTATTACTTAAATCTATTTCTCTTCCTGGAATTGATACCCAGCCAAACGCATGTTACCACAAACGGACATTTTATCGACAAAACCAAACATATTAACAGTCGAAGAGAAATTGGCCTCATGCCTCAGACTGACTGACTGAGTTTGGTTTTACGCCGCTTTTAGCAATATTCCAGCAACATCACGGCGGGGGACACCAGAAATGGGCTTCACACATTGTACCCATGTGGGGATTCGAACCCGGTTCTTCGGCGTGACGAGCCAACGCTTTAACCACTAGGCTACCCCACCGCCCCTCATGCCTCAGAGATAACACAAAAGCATGTCAAGCTAACAACACACTCTAGCATGAGAACGCTTGAAATGATGGGCGTCTCTGTTATCATCCTTTGGAAGAAGTTCACAAGAATTGTTTCATTTTTCAATTTATGAATGGTGCGGTGTTCATATGATTATCCATACATTAACGGAGGTAATTAAATCCTTACACATCATAGATTTACTTTGATACAACAATGCCAGAAATGTTAATCAATAATCATATACATAACGAGAGTATAAATATAATTTACTATCTGTCAAATGAACCATGCTTATTCAAAGAAAGAAATAACTGAGCCTAAATGGAAATGACAATGGCCAGCTGTTACATCTTGTGTGGAGTACAAGAACTCGCCAGGCTGAATGATTAAAAATCTAAAATTTTAACATTAAACAAATACAAATAACATCAATTGGACACTAAATCAACACAACTTCTTATTACATATTCGCAAAATGGGTTCATTTCTTCATTTATGTGATTACAAAAAAGTGAATATTAACATACTAACCGTTACCTTTGTCTGTGTGTATTACTAATGGTAAAAACTATCTGTATCCATTTCAATAGTGAGTAGCATAATGCAGTGACCTCTTGTATATCTATTCCACGAAACGTCCATCAGTCATCTGGGTCATAAATGATTAATAAGTAGAACTGCATCATGACAGGTTTTGTTGCTGAATAACAGCAATTGTATTACCAAGATGCTGATGAGGGTGTTGTACTGACACGGAGGATGGATCGGGGAGACCGTTGCCCACAGAAATACATATATCGCACCTTATCAGTTAACTGTTGCACAGGGAAGCCATTTGACCGAATTACGCACACTGCCATGGTGAATGAATACTGTTGCTGATAGAGGTATGTAGGTAGGATCTTATACATGGCCATGATACACATGTATCTGAATACGTACATGGTACACATGTATCTCAATACGGACATGGTACACATATCTCTGAATATGTAAATGGTACACGTGTATCTGAATCCTTGACAGTTGTAGCCTTGATCTAACAAGTTCTGAGCAGGAATTGTATGGCGCTCTTTGAAATATTGGTAGAAGAGTTTATATGCTCGAGTGTGCATAAAAAAATGTGAAATACAGACACTTAAAATTGGAGTTGTTAGGATATTGCGCGACATGGAATGAATGTTGACTCTTGAACGATTGAGTGAGTGAGTGAGTTTAGTTTACGCCGCACTCAGCAATATTCCAGCTATATGGCGGCGGTCTGTAAATAATCGAGTCTGGACCAGACAATCCAGTGATCAACAGCATGAGCATCGATCTGCGCAATTGGGAACCGATGACATGTGTCAACCAAGCCAGTGAGGCTGACCATCCGATCCCGTTAGTCGCCTCTTACGACAAGCATAGTCGCCTCTTGTGGCAAGCATGGGTTGCTGAAGACCTATTCTACCCCGGATCTTCACGGGTCCTTGAACGATTGAAGGTATCACTCCTTCACTATCACTCTGAATCCTTCTGCAACAGGCGTCGTATATGTATCCTTCAAACAACTCGTACAACAGCTGTACCAATACCTGCGACTGTAGAGAAGCATTATCCTAGAGTCGACCTCAAGGAGACGCTGCATTTCCTGACAGAGTTTGGCTTCATGTCCCACATTGCGCAAAATTAACGTCTCCAAAATGCGAAACCTACAAAATACAGAATTTTGGAAAGGCAATATCATAGCACAAGAAATAGCGACCAATTCCACAATATATCATATTACCAAAAGCAGAGGTCTTTGTAATATTTTGACCATCCCATCCGTTTAAGTTAGTTCATGGTTGAGCATCAAGTGGAATTCCTACCGAATGCCAACACACTGAATCAAAGCCTTTTGTGTATTTACCTTATGTCTTCCTTGATAGGACTCTTGAAGATCCGGGTTAGAATTGGTCTTCAGTAACCCATGCTTGTCGTAAGAGGCGACTAACGAGATCGGGTGGTCAGGCTCGCTGACTTGGTTGATACATGTTATCGGTTCGCAATTGCGCAGATCGATGCTCATGCTGTTGATCATTGGATTGTCGGGTCCAGACTCGATTATTTACAGATCGCCGCCATATAGCTGGAATATTGCTGTGTGTGGCGTAAAACTAAACTCACTCACTCACTCTTCCTTGATAGCAGAAAAGTAGTTCAGACAAAATGAAAGCAACAAATTCAAGAACCAAGGTCATAAGGCAATGTAACGCGTCCAGTGTACGACGAGTTTGACCAATGTAGTCGCTTCGTTAAATTTAAGGTTACTGGGCGCATATTCTTGCCCAGAATCCCAATGACTATAATATTATAATGTTTGTGGATTCATACAATGATTTGACCTCTACTTTAACCTCAGTCAAAATTCTTAAAGAATTTTCAGGACACTGCCAAGTTTCTGTTTGAGAGATACTGTTCGTTGTGTTTCAAAAACGTTCCCATTTTGATTGGAACCGATTACATTATCAGAACTGGTGAGTTATAGCAAAGAGAAAAAAAATCTTCCTCCGGAATCATTGCTTTTTGTGACTGATGTCCATCACAATTATACTTTACAAAAAGTTTCAGTACAAGGAAGAAAAATATGTAAAAATATATCGCTCCCTGATGATTCGTTCCTACGGAAACCTGATGATTTTTGTATTTTATCATCCGACCACCGACGTGGATGACAAGCACAGCTAAAACCAGAACAAATACATCATGAAGGAGAATTTGATTACTTCACTGCGGGGTACTGAGCATGGTTGAGATTAATGTTGCGCTATGTACAGTTCAGCAGTTAAGGGTAAATTGCACGGATGTCAGCTTCAGAACACGACGTTTCCGAGTATATTCTTACTCCTTCGTATAGCTGGAATTTTGCTAAGTGCAGCATTACGTAAGGTTTGTTTTGTTTTTGTTTGTTTGTTTGTTGTTTAACACTCAGCATTACTCCAGCTATATAGCCAGCAATATGGCGGCGGTCTGTGAATTATCCAGTCTGGACCAGACAATCCATTGATCAAAATCACGAACATGAATGTATGCAATTGGATACGATGACGTTTGTCAACCAAATCAGCAAACTGGCCACCCGATCCCGTTAGTCGCCTCTTACAACAAACATGGGTTGCTGAAGACCAATTCTAACCCGGATCTTCACAGGTCCCTTCGTAAGGTATGGAAGTAATATTGACCGTTACCTGGGTTTAGGGTCGTTGATGTCATCGTATGGATCTGCTGATTTTGGAATTCTGGTGAGGTCTTTGACTGCTGATATGAAGTCAGCATGACCTGTCTCGTTGGTGGTTACGACGGTAATGTCGGTCCAGTTGTAGCGGCCGAGCATGCTGAGCATCGCCTTCACCTGGTGGTGGATGGTGGGAGAAATCAGAAGGTTCCGGGTCTTGGAATGGGTCTGAAAGAGAGTGCATTGGATATTACAACAAAAGAAAAAACTGAAAGACATAACTACTGTAACATCTGACTCGGTGCATGAGTCAGGAAATGAGAGATAAGTTCGAAAATATGCATTGGGATAAAAGGTTACTAATTCTAGTCTGTATGTCATTTACATAATATTTCTTTGCTGTTTGTTGGCGTTTCTCTCTCACTCTCTCTCTCCCCCCTCTTATTGCCGATGTGACTTAAAAGTTTAACTCTCTCGTGTTTAACTCTCTAGAGTGTTAGACTTTTAAGTCACATCGGCAATAAGAGGGAGAGAGAGTGAGAGAGAGAGAGAGAGAAAGAGAAAGAGAAAAACCAACAAACAGCAAAGCAAAATTATGTAAATGTCCTTTGTATAAACAAGTTACAGTACAACCAGAAATTATTGAGAATTTAAGATTGTAATTTTTATATTTTTTTCACTCATTACTCAAGTATTAAATGTGAATATTAGCAGAACATAACTCCAGATTCAAAGACAGGTGAACAGTTAGTACTTTGTCAAGTCACCAGGGGCAGCAATACAGGCTTCAATGCGGCGGGGCATACCACTGATCAAAGAAGTTAGAAAGTCGTGGTCCATGCTGTCCCAATATCGGACCACCTCTTCTTTCATTTTAACAATATTTGTCAGATTTTTCTTATTGACACTTTCCTTCATAAGTCCCCAAACATTTTCTATTGGATTTAGGTCAGGGCTATAGATGTCCAATCTAATAATGTCAGATTTTTGGTCCGAAACCAGGCCTGTGAATGCTTTGAACGATGTTTTGGGTCGTTGTCCTGCTGGAAAATCGAAAAATTTCCATAGAACAAGTGAGCAGATGGAAGTAAATTTCCCTCGAGAATATCTGTGTACCGGTCACTGTTCATATTCCCTTCATGTATACAGAGGGGCGTTGCCCCTAACGCAGATATGCCACCCCACATGTTAAATTTCGGACTGTACTTTGGGCGCTGATACAAAGGTTTTTCAGTTTGTTTGGTCCAGAATTTCAGTGTATTAGGAAACAGCCACACAGAAGTTTCATCTGATAAAATCACATTGTCCCAGTTAAAATTTCCATGCTGTAAGCATCAGTTCAACCTTCGCTCCTTTTGTTCAAGTTTCATGATCGGTGATGGAATTCCTCGACGTTTCTGCCAACCCATTGCATGCAGCTCAGTTCTAATTGTCTCCTTACAGACAGCCACAGTTCCTCTATCAATCATATCCAGCCTTAAGTTTTCTTAACTCCTTCGTTTGTTTTTAGAAACAAGAATACCAAGCCGCCTCCTGTCACCGACAGTCAGTTTTTTGGACCTACCTGCGCCTCCCTGGTGCTCAATGCCATATCCATTTGCAATCGTTTTCAAAACACGATAAACAGTGGACAAAGGGATGCCTGTTCTACTTGAAATCACTTTAGCTGATCTGATGTCCTTGTTATAATACTCTAAAATCAACTTCCTCTTCTCTTACTTATCCATACTGAGGATCTCTGAAAATGTCGTCTGCTAGCAAGTAAACAAAGGGGGATAACTCTTCACAAACTAATGAAAAAGGATTAACGGAGTTGTCTCTCTTGAATGAAACCAAGCACTCGATAGCTGGTCCAGGTTGTTTATACTAGAAATCCAATTAAACATATTCCTAAAATTCTCAATAATTTCTAGTCATACTATAACTAGGCTTAGGAATTATGATGGCAGGTATTATAGCAATACAGACAGTGTGCTATCTAGGGCATAATGATCATCACACAGTGTCAACGCCGCCCCTCACTGAACATCACACCTACAATGTATAACACTTGGAACAGTGTTTCACAACAGTGCAACATAACAGTATATTTGTCTGTGGGCTCATGTCCTTCATACCTTAATGATGATAGTGATGATGATTTTTATGATGAGATCATGTAATTACATTTCAATCATGATCAAGTTTGGATGGCAATGGTCGATGGTTTGATCACTGGTTCATGGGGTCGCCGTGAGTGAGTGAGTGAGTGAGTGAGTGAGTGAGTGAGTGAATGACAGAGTAAAGGGGGTTGAACGTAACATTAATAATATCCTAGTTGTATGACAGACTGTAAGCTAAACGTGGGAGTAAGGTCCCGGGGTTGGATATATACAAACGTGGTTAAACGGGCAAATCTAGGAGTCGCACCCACAATCTTAAGATCACCTCCAAGGGAATCATACATTCTGCAACTCCGATGTCCCAGAATTATTACAACGCTTTGTTATTTAACATAGTTCTGTTCCACGCAGATCGTTTTACATAAATACTCCTGATGATATAACATGTATGCTTACTTGCTAGCAATAAATATGCAAAAATAACTTTTAAATACATTCATCCAAGATAATCAGTATATGATTATTCAGCAAATGCATATATTAATAAAGTCTGATAAGCACTTTCCTAGGTATATGCATGGATATATTTATGCATGCATGCATTCAGATAACGACATCGTGCAGCAACTGAGCGACAGCAGTGACTGATAATGCATGGTGGTCCCCACTGTTCCATATGTAACTGAATTAAAGAAGATATCACATAAACACTAAAACAAATCCAATCCGATCTTAGAAAAACAAAAAGGAACAATGGTTCAATTCCTAAGGTGATAACAAATCAACTTTAACGTGACTTATTATCGATGGAAGTCAGAGGTCGGCGTTGAAGAGCTCCATGCAATGCACACACCAAAGCATTTTTGACTGAAGCAAGGGTAAAAAAATCGGCAATTTCAGAGCGTCCACGAGCACAATTACAGGTTCATCGTGTACAACAGTCGCGAGAAAGGAAATTTATGGCAGGCAAACACTATACAATTTCGAGAAAATGAAAGGTCGTGGATATTCAACAACAATCTTACGCTCACATGTTTAAAGATATGTTTTACATAATTACCTACTAAAGCAGAAAGGCCATTGAAACCATTATTTGGTTGAAGATTCAGGGTCGTAACTCATGACGCAGGTCGTTATCAAGTCAACTGCGTATTATCTAGCGATACCGTTTGAGACGTTACATGCTTGTATCACGAAGAATTGACAATCTCAATGCATTGTATAAATCTGCTAATTCCGACGAGTGATGAAAATGGTATTAAAACAAATATTAAACATCAACCCAGAGAATAACCAGTTTCCACTATCACACGAAACAGATTCCAATGGGCATAGCAGAAAGCTGATAATGTTCGAGAAGAGGTGAGCGTATCCTCTCTATGTCACAAACACATGCAAGTGCATATCAATTTTAAATTGGTCGGAGTAATAGGGAGACGGTCAAAATAAAAACACAAACTCAGCAAAGCTTTGAGAATGTTTCATGGGATGCCTGTTTAGGACATACCTTTCAAACCTGGAGCACAGCAAGGAAACCACGTGCATGTGTCCATCCATTACTAAGACTACCATTCCGTCCTTTCAAATTCATTCCATGTGTGAAACGTTCTTACTTCCGCATATTATGAGAATACCCTATGAGCAAATAATCCTTCAACGCTTATGCCACTTGAAGCTTTGTATATACAATGGATAGGGCCCTTTCAGAATCTCAACATTATGAACATCATACAGCAGAATGGCGGATCAGTAAGACAACAAGGGATTCTTTCTTTCAGCACTGGCAAATATATTGAATACACAATTAAGGGTTTAACGAGATAAATAGTTAACATTTTCTGAATACCTTTTAGTCAAATGGTTCGCTTCAGGCCATTGATCAATTAATATTGTTTTAGGTGAATGATTTCATTAATCACATCCATGAGACTGAAACATATCTAATGTGTATATGCTTTCTATTGCACGTTGAGTAACTGACAGAGCTGTGACACAGATCACAGATCATTTGATTAAGCCAAATATTAGACTTTTTATAATTTCATCACATGCAAAAGCACACCATGTTGTATTTAACCATAATACAATATTTGTTCTCCACAAATCCACATGTGTTCAATCAGATTACCAACATGAAACAACGTTAGACAATTATATGGATCACGCAGATCTGTTTCTTGTTTGGTAAGCTTAAGTCTTGTATATTGACGCAGACTCATCGAATGTGTCAACTGAAACATTCTTCTTAGCTTAAACATATTATTAACGTGTTAGTAATGATAAGATCAATACAAAATTAGAGACCATGGAGATCCATGCCATCCGTCTCGTTTCTGTGGTAACATTCAACCTGATACTGATTTGTTTGTAGGTGAATGTTCAATCCGGCTTGCCCTGAACTGCAAGGAGGTCAATACTTGCCGTCTCCTGTGGTAACATTTAACCTGATGTAATTTAAAATTCTGTCGATTTCTACTGCATGTTCTTAATCTATGATATGTATAATATTTTATGCTTTCTTGAAACTGATGTTCAGCCAGATGTCGCCCAGTAAGATAGTAAAGTTCAATAAAAATGCATTTGGACAACATCAAAAGTGAGGTAAATGTAAACAAGTCTGAATGACTACATGAAATTAAAGCTCAGATTGTACCTTCACGAATGGCGTCATTAATATCTGTCTGAGACTCTGTGCCTACTGAAGCCAGAGGGATACATCCAATCTCATTTTGTTTCCACAAAATGCTTACTGGATTAATATCTTTAAGGTTTATGATGAAGGATGGCTTTTCTCTGCCTGGTGGGAGCAGAATATTTTAAAATAGATTACGTTGGATTGTGGTTTCATTACCATAGTTCGTTGTATGCGTTTCGACTGAACATAGAACAAGAATCTGAGGAAAAACTTCGTTATATCCTTCAGTTCGTTATTACAAACGTAGTAAAATGTACAACTTGAGTAATTGTTTTAAGTATGACGTCCCAAAAGGTTATGATATTATCGATGTAATGTCCAACTAAACTCCCAATCTTTTTACCTCTAAGACAGTTTTATAGTTGCCATTTTGATCAATAGATATAAACAATGACATATATTCAACTTTTTCAGAATTAAGCTCAGTCACA